GATGATCTTCTGCGGTGTATCTTACTGGGGTTCTCTGCATTGCCTGAATTTGAGTGTTGGCCTCTCTAGCTAAGTTGAGGAAGTTCTCCTGGATGATATCCTGAAACATGCTGTCCAAATTGTTTCAATTCTCCTCATCTCTTTAAGGTACCCCAATCAGTCACAGAGTCAGTCTCTATATAATCCCATATTTCTCAGAGGTTTTGTTCATTCCTTAATTATTTTTTCTCTATTATTGTGTGTCTGACTTATTTCATAAAGATCGTCTTCAAGTTCTAAGATTCTTTCCTCTGCTAGCTCTATTCTGCTATTAATACTTGTGATTGCACTGTGAAACTTTTGTAGTATGTTTCTCAGCTCTACCTGATCAGTTATGTTCTTCTCCATGCTGATTACTTTGGCTGTCAGCTCCTGCATTGTTTAATCATGATTTTTAGCTGTTGGTTATGTTCTTCTCTATGCTGGTTACTTTGGCGGTCAGCTCCTGCATTGTTTAATCATGATTTTTAGCTTTCTTGCATTAGGTTACAATGTGCTCCGTTAGCTCAATGAATTTCATTTTTGTCCACATTCTAAAGCCTACTTTTGTCATTTCAGCCATCTCAGCCTCAGCCCAGCTCCAATACCTTGCTGGAGAGGTGTTGCGGTCATTTGCAGAAAAGGAACACTCTGGCTTTCTAAGTTTTCAGCATTTTTGTGCTAATTTTTTCTCATCTTTGTCAGCTTATCTACCTTCAATCTTTGAGGCTGCTGACCTTTGGATGGGTATTTTGTGTTATGAGTTTTGTGGGTTTTTTTTTTTTTTTCTTTTAACATTCTGGCTACTTTTCTGTAGGGCTGCTGCCATTTTCTGGGGGTCAATTCACCTCATATTTTCCAGTACCTGGAGGTATCACCAGTAAAGGCTGTTCACAGCAAGGATGGTAGCCTGCTTTTTTCACTGAGAGCTTTGTCTTAGGTGGGCACAAACCTATTGTTGGCCTGAACACACCTATAGGAGGTGGCTGGAGACCCCAGTTGAGAGGTCTCACCCAGTCAGGAGGAACATATACAGGGGCCCACTTAAAAAAGCAGTCTGGCTGCATTTTGGTAAAACAGCTGTGCTAATGTTGGGGAAGCCCTTCAGCCCCTGACTGGTTTAAGGTCTCCAAGGCATACAGGCTGGAATGGCAGAGTGCCCAAACAGCATAGGTAGTGACCTACCACTTCCCCCAGCACTCAATCCCAGGGAGAAATCGGAACTCTACTCGTTGAATGCGGGCAGGGGTGGCTGGAAGCCTCACTGTTAGGTCTCACCCAATGAGGAGAAGTGGATCTAGGTTTCATTTAAAGAAGTTGTCTGGCCACACCTTGGCAAAGCAGTTGTGTTGTACTGGGATAACATCTCCAACCTTCTCAGCTTGGACTCTGCAAAGCCCTCAGCTTGGAATAGCTGAGTTGTCTGAACAACCAAGATGATGGCTTACCCCTTTGCCCAGGAACTCTTTCCCATCTCAGCCAGGTGGCTGGCTGGAATTCCAGCCCCGTGCGGTCTTGTCTTGTGAGGTGCTGTGAAAGTGGGTCCTGCAGAATAACCCTGCTCAGCCCCTGGATTTCACCCCCTTCCTAGGGGTATGTACAGACCTCCCTTTTTGCCTGAGTTGCAGTCATCTTTGCTGGGGATCCTGGAGCCAGAGTAGGTAAATCTCCCAGGTTTCTGTGCATGCCTAAGCAGTTGCTCTGCCAAGACTCCACACAACTCTGTATGTCAGACCCAAAGCTCTGGTGGAGTGGGTACAGGAGGAAATCACCTGATCCAATGGTTGCAAAGATCCATAGGAAAAGTATCATTTTTCAGAGTCACATATTTACTCACCACTTCCCTAGGTTGAGGGTGGGAGTTCCCTTGGCTCCATGTTACTCCCAGGTGGATAATTGCCTTGCCTTTTCTTCATTCTCTGTAGGTCAAGCTGTTTCCTTGATCAGTCCTAATGTGAGTACTTGGATATTTCTATTGAAAGTGCTATATTCACTTCTTTTGCTCCTCTCTGTGAATGCCACACTTGTAGCTGCTTCTAATCAGCAACTTTGGCTCCACTCCCTAGACTCTCTTTCACTACTTGTTAATTCAGGGTCATTAAAATTTGCAACTGACTGAGAACATTATATTTCTTTATGTATCAAAAGCATGTCCCATTGGGAGTTATGATCTCCAAACCCATTAAGCTCAAAAGTACAGAAAATGAAAGCAAAAATTCACCCAGTAGAATATTTCATGTAAAAATAAGATGATCTACTTCCACCCTTTGGTTCCCAGAACCATGCAACCATATGGGTGAGATAGCACCACATAGAATTGTTTGGATCAAGGCATAAAATGAATCTTGCAGACAGTAATCTAGCTTCAAATATTAATATCTTCGTAACAGTTGAGGGTATGGAGTCATTACACCATTCTATCAAGCCAGTTGTTTCTGGACAACGGAGTACAAAGTAAGACCAATGAATTATGTAGTTATCATACAGTCAAACTTCCTTTGTCTTGTCATATATTTCTTAGAAACAAAATTACATGAGATATTATAGGGATGTATAAGGCATTTGTAAGTCTGTGGATGGTGGTACTAGCAGAAACACTGCAGGTAGAGAACAAAAAACCCTGTCTAGAATATGTATCTTTCCCTGTAAAGAGAAAATTACTGTCTCCTCTACATTAAAAGAGGGCCAGTGTAATCAGCCTGACAACAAATGGTCAACTTGTCTTTCCAAAATTGCATCACATTGGAAACTCAAGGTTGGCTTCTACTGTTGACCACTTGGATAATAAGTAATAGTAATATTAAATTCCTAGTGAATATAATTAATTAGAGATTGTTCTTGGTAAGAAGTTCACGTTAGTGCTCTGATACAAAGTCACCATTCCTATATCCATGACCATTTTTCTCTTTTAAAAAAATTATTTCAATAGGTTTTTAGGCAACAGGTGGTGTTTGGTTACATGGCAAAGCTCTTTAGTGGTAACCTCTGAGATTTTGGTGTATCCATCACCTGAGCAGTGCACACTATACCCTTTTATCCCTTGCCACACTCCCACACTTCCCCTGAGTACCCAAAGTCCATTGTATCAATAGTATACCTTTGTATCCTCATAACTTAGCTCCCACTTATGAGTGAGAACATGCAATGTTTGGTTTTCCCTTTCTGAGTTACTTAGAATAATGGTCTGCAATTCCATCCAGGTTGCTGCAAATGCCATTATTTCACTACTTTTTATGAATGAGTAATATTTCATTTTATATATATATTATATATATAATATGTATATATGTTTGGCTTGTCTGCTTATTCTGCTGATCATTACGTTTGCTGTGCAGAAGCTTTTTAGTATAAGTCCCATCTATTTATCTGTGTTTTTGTTGCATTTGCTTTTGGGTTCTTAGTCATGAAGTCTTTGCCTAAGCCAATGTCTAGAAGAGTTTCTCCAACGTTTTATTCTAAAATTTTTATGACATCAGGTCTTACATTTAAGTCTTTGATCCATCTTGAGTTGATTTTTGTATAAGGTGAGAAATGAGGATACAGTTTCATTCTTCTGCATGTTGCCTGACAATTATCTCAGAACCATTTGTTGAATAGGGTGCCCTTTCCTCAGTTAATGTTTTCATTTGCTTGTCAAAGATCAGTTGGTTGCAAGTGTTTGGTTTTATTTATGGGTTCTCTGTTCTTTCCCATTGGTCTGTGTGCCTACTATTATGCCAGTATCATGCTATTTGGTAACCATAGCTTTGTAGTAGTTTGAAGTCCAGTACTGCGATGCCTCTAGATTTGTTATTTTTGCTTAGTCTTGCTTTGGCTATGTAGGATCTTTTTTGGTTCCACATGAATTTTAGGAAAGCATAGAGAGAATGATTCATGACATTGGATTTGACAATTATTTTTGAATATTACACCCAAAGCCCAGACAGCAAAGCAAAAACATACAAATGCACTACATAGAACTTAAAATCTTTTTTTTACAGTAAAGAAAAGAATTGGTGAAGTGAAAAGTAGCCTGCAGAATGGGAGAAAGCATTTGCAAATCATGTCTTGAAAGAGGCTAATATTCAGAATATCTAAAGAACTTCAACCCAATAGCAACAAAAGAAATCTGATTTAAAAATGTCCAAAGGACTTGGATTGATATTTTTCAATAGAAGATATACAAATGGCCAAGAAGCATATGAAAATATATTTAACATTACTAATAATCATGGAAATGCAAATCAAAACCATAATAAGGTATCACCTCACATCCATTCGGATGGCCACCAAATAGGAATATAAAATGGTGCAGTCACTATAAAAACAGCATAAAAGTTTAAAAAAATAAAATAAGAAAAATAGAATTACCATATGATTCAGCAACTCAATTTCTGGGTATATATACAAAAGAATTAACAACAGGATCTCTGTGGGATATTTGTACACCTATATTCATTGCAGCATTATTCACAATGGTGAAGAGCTGGAAGCAACTTAAATGTCCATTGAAAAATCAATGAATAAAGCCAGTGTGGTATGTACAATAATACAGTGGAGCATAATTCAGCCTTAAATGAATAGGATATCCTGTTATATGCTACAGCAAGCATGAAACTTCAGGATATTATTCAAAGTGAAATAAGCCAATCACAAAAAGACAAATACTGCATGATTCCAGTTTCATAAGGTACCTAAAATAGTCAAACTCTCAGAAACAGAAAGTAGAACAATGATTGTATTTTTTCAAGATGCAAAAGTTCTAGATATATATTGCAAAACAATGCGCATATAGTTAACAGTATAGTTCTACACACTTCAAAATATTTAAGATGTATACTTTAGATGTATTATATGTACATATATGTGTATATGTCACACTTGCATATATTTTTCTAAAACCACGGTTATTACAAATTAAATATATATGTTTATTTATAAGCTATGGTATCTATTTAGTAAATATTTTATACAATGTAAACAAAAGAAAAAATAATGCTTACTTTTCTGCAGCAGTGCTTTGGTCACGGACCTTAACTAGTGGTGCTCCTATCACATAACCCATAGCATATCCAATGATTTCTGAACATTCTGCAATACCTGTAAAATAAACACTGAACATCAAGCAATTTTATAAGTCAACTTTGTTATGATAAAAATTAATTAACTAAAATTGATTACTTCTGAAAGCTTTTCACAGCATTCTGTATTAGTCAGAGTTCTCCAGAGAAACAAAACCACTAAAAGAGAGAAAAACAGGAATGGAAAACCGAACATCATATGTTCTCACAAGTGGGAGCTAATCTATGATGATGCAAAAGCGTAAGAATTATATAATGGACTTTGGGGACTGAGGAGTAAGGGTGGGAGGGAGGTGGGTGAAGGATAAAAGACTGCACATTGGGTATAGTGTACACTGCTTGGGTGACGGCTGCACCAAAATAAATCACCACTAAAGAACTTGTCTATGTAACCAAATACCACCCATTTCCCCCAAAATTATTGAATTTAAACAAACAAAAATAAAAATAACTTTCAAAAAATACAGAGAGAAAAAACAGAGAGACTCATTTTAAGGAAATAACTCATACAAAATACAATTATGAGGCCTAGCAAGTCCCAAATTTGTAGAGAAGGCCAGCAGGCTGGAAATTCAAGTGAGAGTTGATGTTACAGTCCAGATAGAACTGCTTCTTCAGAAAACCTCAGACTTTCTTCATAGAACCTTCAACTGATTGAACGAGGCCCACCCACATTATGAAATCAGTTTTACTCAAAATCTACTGATTGTAAATATTCATCACATCTAAGTGACCATCACCAAAACATCTAGAATAGTGTTTGTCTATATAACTAGGTATCATAATTTAGCGAAGCAAACACATAAAACTAGTCATAATATATATTATCCAATACATGTGTTAGAGAAACTCAGCATATAATTCATTATACCTTATTTAATTTATATATTTCATGTAATATATGTAATATATTTATATTTAATATATCATATATAAAGTATATTTATATTTGATATAACTATAAATTCAAAATACCTTATTTTATTTCAATTTGGGTGCTCTAGCAAGATGATACTTCAACATTATTGTCACCTCTTCACCCTTCACCTTAGCTACCAGGGTGTCAGGATGTCTCAATATACCTTTGCAACAAGTATATAAAAACAACTTAAATTTTCAGAAGTGATAGTTAGATAACCCTGTACAAATAGATGATCTACCAGGACCAGAATCTATTGCAATATAAGAGAGTACAGATTACCTTGAGATATAGCCAGGATTACTTATTGTAGGATACAATAGCATGAGAGATTGTATATAGGGATAGTATGCTGTTATTCATTAAATATATATACACATATACAAATATACATATTTATAAATGTACATACACGTATCCATAAAGAGGATGATTTTTATTACTTAAGAAAGTATTTTTTGTGTGTTTGTTTGTTTGTTTGTTTGAGAGAGAGAGTCTTGCTCTGTCACCCAGGCTGGAGTACAGTGGCGGCATCTCGGCTTGCTGCAACCTCTACCTCCTGGGTTTAAGTGATTTTCCTGCCTCAGCCTCCAGAGTAGCTGGGATTACAGGTGCTCACCACCAAGCCTGGCTAATTTTTTTGCATTTTTAATAGAGACACAGTTTCACTGTGGCTTTTCACTACTGACCTCAAGTGATCCGCATGCCTTGGCCTTCCAAAGTGCTAGGATTACAGGCATGAGCCACCATGGCCTGATGAAAGTATAGATTTTTTCAATTGCTCTATATATTTTCAGTGACATTCAGGTGACTTGTCTAGAATCTCAAATCTCAAACAGCTCTTCAGAATTAGGTGAATCAATGTGATTTAAAGGTTTAGCATACCAGTTATCATTTATTACAATGTTATCATAAGGGCCAACAGTACTTCTATATCAGCTTAGACATGCATATCAAAATTCAAGGAAAATTCAAAGTGGGTCAATCATATTAGAGGGGGTAAAAACTTGCCTAAATAGATACCAGCTGAGTGTGTAGCAACACTTTCTTCAATAAAGGTTATTCCAAGGATGTAAAGAGGCATTGCTGCTATTCCTTGCACAGTCTGCCCAAGGGTGAAGAAAGACAAGTATTTTGATTGGAACGATGCACGCCTCTGGCAACCACTGAAAACCTTTGTTTCTTTGCAAATATCTTTTGAAAAGACAATAATTATAGTTTTGTTAATTGAACTCAAAAGTTAAACATACAACAAATGTGTAGTATTCTTTAACAAATATTTTACAAGCTATTTCCAAAATTATACATTTTTCTTTTAGTTAACATGTCATTTACACTGAATGTAGCAATACTGCAATCAATCATCATGTTGTCAGAAAAATGCCATCATAAAATTTGGGCTAGACACAGCACACAGCTGTAGTACCAGGTACTCAGAAAGCTGAAGTGAGAGGATTGCAACAAGCCTGGGCAACATACTGTGACCCCATCTCCAAAATAAAAAAAGAAAAGAAATTGTGTCGGAATCCTGCAAAAGATGCATATATTATAAACCAAAATATAAATGTGCATGCTACACATAGCACATATTCCTCTTAAATTTGGCATCCTGTTCCCCTGACTTTTGACCCTAGGCTAAAAGTATTTCTAATGTTCTAGATTATCTGTGTTATCAAAGAGTACCTTCTGAGTTTAGTTTTATGTCCACCTCTTTAACAATCTTTGTGTTAACTTTGTCTCATTCTGATTAAATAACTTCCCATTTTAGACCCACTAACTTTCAGAACATAGGTTCATAAGGACAAGGAATTACACAGTATACATTTCTTTCCATTAGAGTTAGTCATTATGTGGTCATCCACTAGATTTTAATTTCCTTCAGGTCACAGTATATTTCTTATACATTTTTTCTTCAGATGGTTATAAAACAGTATTAAGTAAATGCTTGTGTAATTATAATTTGTTTGTAGATTGGTAGATCCAGGCAATTGTATTAGATTATATTGTACGGGTTGTTTTGCTTGACATTTAACACATGCTCTTAAATAATATTGTGGAAACCCTATTAAAGTGCAGATTGCAAAATAGTACACAAAGGAACATTTTCAGCTGGCTTAGTATCCATGTGAAATGATTTTGACTGCATATCAAGTGGGAGGTAGTCTCTTGAACTGTCATTCAAATGCTGAAGGTTCAGTTTTATATAGACCTATTAACTTGTGATATCAGTGTCAATGTGATACTTCCAACATCCTGACCTCTTAGTTCCTTGAACTTTTTTGCTGTTATGCACTGTACTCCACCTGCCTTGGCTAGTGCTATAGTTTGGCTCTGTGTCACCACCCTCATCTCATGTGGAATTGTAATTCCCAATGTTGTGGGAGGGAGGTGGTGGGAGGTGACTGAATCACGGGGTGGATTTTGCCCTTGCTGTTCTTATGATAGTGATTTCTCACAAGATCTGGTTGTTTGAAGGTATGTAACACTCGCCACTTTGCTCATCTCCTGCCACAATAATGAAGATGTGCTTGCTTCCCCTTCACCTTCCACCATGATTGTAAGTTTCCTGAGGCCTCTCCAGGCCTCCTATACAGTCTGTAGAACTGTGAGTCAGTTAAATCATCTTTCTTTATAAATTACCCAGTCTCAGATAGTTCTTTATAGCAGTCTGAGAACAAACTAATACAGCTAGTCATTTTAAATGTCAAAAATAATAACTACAAACCTTTTCTAATGATAATTTCAAGCATCTATATTCTAACCACCCCTATCTTTCCAGCTGACTCTTTCTAGCAATGCACTGCCAACAATCCTTAAAATTCATCAGGGCATATAATCCATTGATTTTGCTCCTTTTCACTATCCCAATGTCCCCTTTACGTCCTTACTTCTTTCACTATCATCTAAACACTTTTAATTCCTTTGCTGTCTTTCAAATCATGCAACCCCATGGTAAAACTGCAACCCTACTCAAAATAACTCTTTTTCCCACTCCCTATATGTACTTTTAAAGCTTGACATTACTGTACAACCATGCATATCCTGCTTTGAATTCATGATTAATAAACTCAAGGAAGTCCTTTATGCTCCTGATAATCATAAAATGTGTCCCCAATCTATTTACTCTTCCCTTCTCAAAGAAAATTCAAGTTGTTTGTTTCTCTTCTCCTAGGAATCACAGCCCTGAGCTTCCTACTGACAAACATCTGAAAATAAATGTTTTCTATCAATAGAATAAAACTAATCATTAACTTCCTCTGTTGTGACATATGTGTACACTAGGATGCTTCAATTAGTTAATTAGCAAACTTGGTCATATAAACCAATATGGATGAATGGATGGATGGATATACAGACGAACAATTATCACAGTCTGTTTTAAGTTCCTTAAGCCAAGGTTTGAATAAATATTGATTTGATGCATGACAGTATATTTAAAACCTTACCTTCAATTGCTACCTTACTTTGATAACTTTCTTCAGTAAATGATGGAAAAGCACATAAAAGTGATCCAAGTCCTACTAAAAAGGAGGAAACTACAAAGCATATTACTTTTTTTCTGTCTCCATAGAATGCTATAAATATTGCTACCAGGGCAGATGAAATATCATAACTGAATTCCAATGCCAAATTTTCAATGGTTTTCACATAATATTGCCCCTGAAAATCGCCAATGCTGACATCTATAAGACCAAAAATCACACCTAAAATGTAAAAAGAAAAAGAGAAAGCAATGATATGCATTTTAAGAGGTTGTCATTGTGATTATTACAAAGCAAAATTTAAATTACATAATGTAAGTTTATTTTACATTATTCTGAATGTTTAAAAGCTATAAGAATGTAACAATTGCTTTTCTAAAACACAAATAGGCATTAACCTCTACAAAACATTCGCTAATTGAATTTTTGAAGCTATTTTTGAACAACCTCAATGAGTAATTTCCCAAATAAAAATGATTATTATATTATCTCACTTAGTACTGATCTTTATTTTAATGTATTGCATTTCAAATTATAAAAAATTAAAACTATTACTAATATAATATTTATTTACCATTCAGAGTAGGAAATAAAACATTATCAAAATAGTTAAAGCCGGATGCATACTTCCCAAACTTGTTTTTCTCCCTCCTTTCCATAATCAGTATCCTGTGTTTAAATTTTACCATTTTTTAGCCTTTTTAAGATTTTTGACAATGTATCTATCCTTAGACAATATCAGGTATTGTTTTTCATGTTCTTGAATATGAAATAAATGGTACCATATTATGTGTATTTCTATCACTCAACATCCAACTAGGAAAAAATTAGCCATAAACACACTAAAAATTTGAAACAAAATTAACTGAGTAGGGACTGATTACAAAAGTAGTACATTAGTTGGAGTCCAAATGGTTACTAATAAAAATTCATGATATCTATGCAACCAAAGTAACTGGAGCATGGGCTGCTTTTACTATTGCTCTGGCTGCTGCTGTTAGAACTACAATCACTACCTTCTTTTGCAGGAAGCCAGGAGCTCACAGTCTTCCTAATGCTATGACAAGGAGCTCACCTGCTGATTCTGACGCTCTTGCAGGTGCCAGAGCCAGAGTACATGAGCTCTGTGCTGCCGATAGCACCACATTTATTCTTGAGCATAAATCTGGGAGCTTTTAATCACCCAGAGTTGCTCCTGCTGCCAAAACCACCACCAGAAACAGAAAGGAAAAGAGTCTTCCCTTTCCTCTTTTTTCAAATCTACTGCCACAGATTCACTGGCAACACGTAAGTGGAAATCAGCTGGCCCCCAGCAACTCTGGGAAATGTAGTTTCAGGCTTCCCATTCCCTTGCAAATAAAGAGTGAGTAATGGAGTTCATGGCCAACAGACAAATGCCTTGCAGAGTTTATCTTTCAGACTCTTTGATATACATTTTCATTCTTCTTCCCATATTTAAATTTTCATATCAAATAAGTAGCAATATTATCACCCTTCTGCCTAATTGTATCACAATTATCATTTTACACAGATGCTCTTACTGTTTCCCCAAAAATGAGAGATACATAGTCTAATCAATCAGCATATCTATCTCAGTGTAATGCTAATCCTTCAGTTTAATCACAAACCTGAATGGATTCTCTTTAACCTAAAAACCAAATTGAAAAATAACCACCAATAATTAAGCAAATATATCACAGGCCTAACTAAATTTTTGAGGGAAATGTATTGCCAAAGGAACCACAACCCAGATTTGGAGCCACAGCTAGTTTTAGCAGACCAATACCGGTAGGAAACAAGATATAAAAACTTTGCTGCACCCAGAATACGAATTTTCTTTAACTCTTACATTAGATGTGGCCAAGGAGGATAATGGCCAATGTAGAAAATAAGTCCTGTCAGTAACTGAGTTTATCTCTAAGTTGGGGATATCAATTCCTCTTCTAATTGAGGCATATTCTATAACCTAGAGATTAATTTACATGGTTCTCTACTTTAAATAAATTATTAATAGAAAAATAATATAGGAAAGGAGAGGAAGAGAGAAAATAACCAGGACATATAGATATATAAACATATATACAGACAAATGTGCATATGACATATTTGTGTGTGAACACATAAGACAAACAAGTAAGAGGGAATGCAGAGCTTCTACAAGTTTTGTTACTCTAAGTGGTTATGAGACTACAGTTGATATTTATAACTTCCTTCTTCTACTGTTCACTCCCTCTTTTACCCCTTGATCCCAGGTAACATACATAGGTTGCTCTCTCAAAGTGCATATCCCATCCTATAGGACAGCACTAAAAACTTGTTGTCTACTACTGGGAGTGGTTGATTGTTGTCTGCTACTAGGAGACTTATCTGAGTCTTCAAAAGACTCATCATTATCTATAAGACCAAGAGTTTCTGGTTATTGAGATATGTAGTAAAATCGGTGAATTCTGTGAACATGAACCTTCTGCTATACTGTAAAATGAGTTCTTTACTGTAAAGTAAAGAACTTTACTTCTTTACTGTAAAATGAGTTCCTTGATTAGAAGCAATGTGTTGGTAAACATGATTATAATGCTTTATTTGGTATTCATTATGTCTGGTTATGGTAGTGTTAGCACAACCACGATGACAATAGAAGAACCCATATCCAAAATCAATGTCCAATTTAGTAAGGAAAAATTATTGTCCACTTCATAACAGAACCAGAACTGTATAATCAACCTGCCTCCCGGTAGCCGGTTGGTTTCACTAAGGAATGCAGCCAGCACCTAGACTATCTTGACTTTTCCTGGTAGCAAGGCAGGCATTCAGCAGTCCAATAGCCAGACCAGCTCTGGTGAAGATAAGGCCATGTATTCACCTCTTATATAACCTCCATCCTTGATGTAATTGTTACTATAAATAAGACCCTATTGAACAAGAGGTAGAATGGCTAGGGAAAGAGATTGGCTAATATTCATATCCGTCTATCTACTTCATTATTGATAGCCTCTTGTGCAATGGCTTTCTTTTGGTGAACATTCATTCACATAGGATAACCCTGCTCATGTGCAGAGATACATCACTTACGCAGCCTTCCTAATTACCAAATAGTCGAATCATTAGGCAATGTTCAGCTATAGCTGACAGTCAGATATACTGCTCGATGTTCTGTCCACTGGGAGGATTTCCTTTTTCCTCTACTTTTTAGGGCCTCCTCTTGCTAGGTCTATAATGCTATCATAGCATACTACTACAATTGAAAAACCACAGAGGCTCACCAAAAATTGTGCCCTTTCTTAATAGTGGGTGTTACAATAGCACACATTTGTCCTTCATTTTGGAAGAGAGAGTGTCCAATATACTCCAAACCATTTGGTGTCTAGAAACATTACTGAAGTGGCACACTAATTTTTGTTATATAGGATATTTTCTCATAGGATAGTGTTAATGATTCTTGGAAGGCTGGGTCTGATTTGAGTTATGAATCTGGCAGCAAAGGGGTATGGGATGGGTTATAAGATGAGGCCAGGTGAGGCTCAGGTGAGGCCAATTCAGTGTCTTCAAGCAAGGAATTGCATTCTCTTTAGATATAGAAGAAATAAGCGTTCCTACCAGTAAAGAAGGTCCAGGATTTGGGGTTTCATGGTCCTCAGATTCATCAAATTTCACCCAAATGCCTTTATCCTAATTCTCAGAAGTTTTATTTTTCTCAAATCAATGTCCCAACCTTCACAGAAGTGATCTGGTGAATTTGTGAGTTCAACTTATGCTTCAATTCTGCTGCCTGTGAATAAGTTAGTATTGACCAAAATAAACCGTATGTGGCTAAAAATAAGAGTTTCTTATGAAACTGAGAGAAGCTCACACATTTCCTAACCATATCCTAAACTTTTCATTTTCCTTCTATAAATTTTTCAATGCAGTCAAATATTCCACCACCGGAGTCAACTGCAGCAGCTTTTTTGTCTTTCAAAGTCTTGCCTTCAATAATAACTTTATCCTAGGCAATAATTTAAATGACTCTTGTTGCTACATGCCATGGATTTCTAGTGAACCACAATTCACAGTCACAAATATCACTACTTTCATTGGTTTCAAGCTCAGTCACATCAAACAACCAATTCCAGATTTCCATCTTTGAGGGTTTGTTAGTTTTTTTGTTTTGTTTTTCCTGGTTCAGTGACTGGTACAGAATATTATATCAAAAGTCATTATTGGCCAGGTGTGTTGGCTCACACCTGTAATCCCAGCAGTTTGGGAGGCCAAGGAGGGTGGATAACCTTAGGTTATCCCAGGTAGCTAGGACTACAGGTACACAACATCATAAGCAGCCAATTTTTTGTAGAGACTGGGTCTCACTATGTTGAGCAGACTGGTCTTGATCTCCTGGGCTCAAGTAATACTCTTGCCTCTAGACTGTGTTTAATGTTTGCTGCTGCAAACATTAAATTATTTCTAAATTATGGGTCACAATTGTATCTTTTCTGTGCATGCTGGTATTGTATGCCAGATATTGTATACAGTATATTGAAAAAAGTTTGCATTACCTTGTCTTCCTTTAAAAAGTGCTGAGTGTTGTTCTGAAGACAGTTAATTTACTTGTAACTTTCCTTGGTCCTGTTAATGCTTTGTTTTAGGTTTTCTTTTTGGATGGAGGTGGGGAATCTAGAGTAGTCCTTTTAAAGGGCAAGGTGCTTGATTCTAAAATGTGTCTTTTTTTAATCCCCAAGTGCTAGGATTACAAGTGTGAGCCACCACAGCTGGCCAGTCTCAAATGTAAAAAGATTGGAATCATACAAAGTATCATCTCCGACCAAAATAAAATAAAACTAGAAATAACAGACATGAATTAGAAAAGTATGCAAATATGTGAAAATTAAACAATACATTTCTAAATAATCAATGGGTCAAATAAGAAATCAAAAATGAATTAGGGCTGGGTGCAGTGGCTTACACCCATAATCCCAAAACTTTGGGAGGCTGCGGCAGGCAGATCACTTGAGATGAGGAGTTCAAGACCAGCCCAGGCAATATGGTGAAACCCCATCTACAAAAAATACAAAAATTAGCTAAGCACAGTGGCATGTGCTTGTGGTCCCAGCTACTCAGGAGGCTGAAGTAAGAGAATCGCTTGAGCCCAGGAAGTAGAGTGTGCAATGAGCTGAGGTCATGCCATTGCACTCCAGCCCAGGCAATGGGAGTGAAACTCTGGTTCAAAAACAAAAACCCAAAACAAACAA